CCAAAGCAGATTGTCAATAAGTGGGCACCAGACTGTCACTGTAATCCACTCCTCTGACTGTTGAGCCTGTTGCCACAGCCCCTGCCTGACCTCATGGCCTATCTCTTCCTCCTTCAGTCATTCTACATACTAAGTCCCAGAGGGACCTTTCTAGCAGACAAATCAAATCATATCATTTCCTTGCTCTAAAGTGTTCAGAGGCTCCCCATTACCAACTGATTAAAACCTAAACCATCTGGCCCACCCCTGTCTAACCACATCATGTGTGTGCACATGCGCACACACACACAGACATCTCCCGGGTCACACAGCAATATGCTCACTGTCCTTTCTCAGGCTCTTCCTGTACTCTGAGTGCCCTTGTCCCTCACACACATTTGGCCACCTCTACCATGGAACCCTCACTGATATTCCCCCCTCCACATTGCCTGGCAAAACGAATCACTCCGTCTCGAGCTCTTCTGTAGTGTTTCACACACACTTCGTTCGAGGCACTTATGATCTGGCCTTGCATGACAGTTATTTATGGGCAGGGCATGCTTCTGCGGTCTCATGCACCCTCTCCATCCATCTCTCCCTGCTGCCCTTACCCTGTGGGGTCCTAATTGTCCATTTACATGTTGGTTACTCCACTCACCAAAGCTCTGTAAGGGCAGAGGCCATGTCTGCTTCGGTGTCTAGAACAGCAGAAAATTGACTCTCTTTAATATGTGATGAATGAGTGTTCATTCTTCCACAAGTCTGTGAGCTCCCCGAGAGCCAAGCTATGCCGGGTCCATCTGTGTATCTTCCCAGCATATAACACAACCCATGGCCCCAAATAGGTGGCCAGTAACATTCTCCTAATAGAACTGCTAAACTGCGTTTCTGCAGTGCTCACTGAGAATTCCATCAGAAAGCCGCCCCTCCCTCTTTTCAAATTCTGTCCATAGCTGCTCTAGTGGTAAGAGTGAAAAAGACAGGGCTTGTGTTCAGAGCCTCATGAAGACGTGCCTGAGGCTCCCTAAGTATGACTGCAGTGTCTGCCCCTTCCCCCCAGAGAAATGGCAACATACCCCAGGATCCTCACGAGTTATTCAAACCCAGTTCTTGACGGCCCCAGCTACTCTCTTCTGGGATGTTCTTATCTTTTGTTTGGCCTTCGATGCTAAAGACTAAAGGTTTTCATTAGAAATATACAAAAATGGGGACTAGCAGGTGGTGTGGTGGTTAAGGCACCGGATACTTCCACATGGCCGCCCACAGTTCAAGTCCTGGACCTGGTGGCTTGCTTTCTCACTTTCCTTCTCCTTCTCTCTGTCTGTGTGTGTCTCTCTCTGATCAAATTTAAATACATTAATGAATAAATTAAATTAAATTAATAATTTTTTTTAAAAGAAATATACAAAAATGTTTGAGTAGCTCACCAACCACCCACCTTCTCCCGACTGTGATTTCCCCAGGGCAAAGGCCCCAGTTTATTATCTTTATATTCCTAGCACCTAAGTGCAAACAGCAGGTGCTCAGGGACCTCTGCCAAAGGACTTGCTCCTGCCCCTCCTCTGAGAGAAACATTTGAAAAGCCAGGAATCAGAATTTTCATGTTCGCACTGTAAACCTTTGTCGCCATACCTACAGCAACACGAGACAGCCGCAAACCTTTATCCCCGCAGCGACAGCAGCACGAGACCTATGCTGCAGTCGACTTCGGAATTTGCCAGGAGCTTGGAAAAATGACTCTTGACCCAGTCCATTTGTCTCTGCGTCTGTAATGAGGTCTAACTCAACCTCATTTCTTCCTACTAAAACAGCCACCTAAGAGCACCAAGAGTTAATCCCACGTAATTAGCATCTTCAGCACTTCAGATTTCTGCTATGCCTCCAAGAGCTGTAATTCCAGCCAATTTTAAAATTCTTCTAGCTGTACCCTTTGGTCCTTCTCTTCCCATAGCTGACTAATTCTCAGCCATGTAACCCAGAGAATTATTCTCCCAGGGAGCATTATAAGAATTAAGATTCAGTAAACTGGAGTGTAAAACTTTGTGTGTTTAGCTCAACTCCTTGCTTAGGTTTATATGGTGGGAAAAAGAGACGGGAAACGGAATCGATGGAGAGATGTGAAGAACAGGAAGTACGGGGCCCTGGGCCCGCCACGGCAGGAGGAAGCCAACTCCCCACCAAGTTCTTTTCTTTGCAGAAAATGAGATTTTTTTTTAAAACCTGGCGTCCTGTACCCTATAAAAAGCCTGTAAATTCACCTCTCTGGAAACAGTCTCAAGCAGACCAAGCACCAGGTGGTGGAGAGAAATGACCAGAATTGTGGGATAATCTTTCAGTTTCTCGAGGAGGTGGATGGGTACGAGCCATGATTACTAAAATTACAGCTGGTCTCAGGTCAGAGAACAGAATACGAAGTATGGTTCTTACTGTGATAAGCCAATTTCCAAACGGCCTCTTTTGCCTCAGCCCTGATCACCTTTGTATTTGACATTTGCTACCCTGGCCAAACGCTGCAGACTCATGTGATGGGAGAAAGGGGTTCCAAGGCCGTAGGTTCGAGAGCAGTGGTGCAGTGAGGTGTCCTCGTGTTCTTTATGTGGGCACAGGGCACTGCCGCAGTTTCTAGCTCTTTTGACCTAGATTTCCTGTCTCCCCTCCCCCCTCAGCATACACATCCTCAGTGACACCAACAGTCACATTTGATGTTAGAGACTATGAAGTTTCTGTTCTCAGCAACTGAACCCAAATATGGGACACACTTTTATTTCTTTGGAACAAATAATGAAATTCAAAACATACACATATAATACTTTAAAGAATTTACAAACCCGTCTATGTCCTTCAGAGTTGGAGTCCTCCCTTCTAAAAGCATCATATTGGACAGAATTATGTTTAAATATATACACACACACACACACACACACTCTCTGAAGGACTTTTAGGTACCACGGCTCATTTGATCCTCACATCAGCTCTGTGAGGTGCTGGGTGTTTATTATCATCTCCATTTTTCAGATGGCTAATTGACTTGCCCAAGGTCACACAGCTAGGGGTGCAGCCAAACTGGAAACCAGTTCTTGTTCCAAACTCAAAGTGCAAGCCTATTTCTTCTTCCTGGGGAATGATATTTGAAATGATATCATCATTGCTTCTCAAATACTTTAATTTTCTCTTCGATTTCCTTCTCATACTTTTCCTCTGAGAAAGAGAAACCCATGGGACCCATGACTTCAACTCCACCCACTTCTCGATGACTCCAAATCCCCTCCCTCCAGCCCCACCCTCTCTCCTGAGTCCATATACACATATCCAACTGCTCCCTGAGCTTTTCTTCTTAGTTAAGAAGTCAGCTTGTATTCACCACATGCGATCTCAAGTCCACAAGTCTGCCTTAGTCCTGCTCCTCCTCCTGTAGTGCCTATTTTAGTAAAGGCATCGCCACCTACTCAGTCTTCCCAGCCAGAAATCTGGAGTCATCCCAGAATCCCTCTCTTCCTCAGCTCTTGAGAATCGTCGTGAAATCCTGCCTGTTTTGATTCCTGGATTTCTCTAGAACATGTCCTCACCTCCTTGTAGTCCAGACCCCCTTCACCTCCTGCCTGGAGGGTTATACTCATCTTCCTCCAGTTTCTCCCCTGACTTTACTCCTCCAGTCCATCTTCCCATTCTGATACAGAGTGCTTTATAACTCTAATTCTTAGTGTTTATTTTTCTGTTTTAAGTCCTTTAACAGATCCTCATAAATTTCAATATAAGAATACAAACTCTTTAATAAAGACCCACAAGGCCTGTGATTCTAGCTCCCTCCAATCCTACTTCTGGATTGACAATCTAAACTCCAATCATACTGAGGCATTTAATTCCCAGAACATACCTCACTTCCGCATAAGCTAGACACTGTTCTGCCATCTGACCTTGCCTGAATCCTCCATTCATTGCCCGGACACCTCCAGCCAGATGGCCTCTCCTCCAGGTAGTCCTTCTGTCCCATCTCTTCCTTCCCTTTCATCATAGTGCTTCTATCAATTAAGGTATTTTCCAATACAAGAAATGGAAACTAAAGATGGCTTCAACATAACAAAGATTTATTATTCCTCCAAATTTAGAAGTAGGAAGGCTCCTGGCTGGTGAATTCAGTGGCCGGGCACATCAGCAAAGCTCACTCCATCTTTAGAATGATTGTTCAAGTCTGTGTCACATGCTGTAGAGACATTCTTAGTGAGAGTGGCAAGTGTTTGGCTTTGAACCATGAACCTCATTTTCTGAAATAGCCAGAAGTCACATAAAGCCAAGACTTGTGAGTACTATGAGCAATCAAGGGCAGTGACACCATTTGGGGTCATGGTCAAGGTAGGGCCACATAGTAACAAGACAGAGCTTTTGGTTTTGCTTGTGACCTGGCTCTAAAAGCAAGTTATAAAAAAGGCAACCCAGGGATCTTGAATTCCATTCTAACTATTTGTGGCACACAAGTGTGAACACAGAGAGTTACTCTTTTTAAAGCAGGCCCTACTTGGATGTTTAAGTTTCAACCTGCTTATTTAAAAAACAAGAACAAATTGAAAATTTAAGTTTCCTGGTTACCTGAAAAAGAAGAAGAAAAATGTGGAGTAGCCATCCCTGCAGTCTCACTTTCTGCCCCGATGAGAAATGTAAGGGGCTGAGATCTGGGACAAATTTCCAAAATAGAAGAAAGGGGTTCAAGGAAGTCCCCGAGTGCTCGGTCTGGGAGACCAATCCATGGTGGGGTGACATGAGTGGGTGCTACACGTGGCCAGAAACCACTCGGGGTCAAGAGAAACCAAAGTATGAAGATAAACCCACTACCCCCTCACCTCCCAACTCCTACCAACCCCTCTCCTCCCCCACCCCGATCTGGGATAAATGCTGGGGCAGCTCTTTAGGTCCCTGGGCTTATTTTCCTCTAAGTCTAGAAGGGCATTCTTTGCCCTGCACCCCTTTTCTCCTGCTGTTTGGTGTCCTCCCTACATTGTCTTTGTCCTTCCTTCTCTTCCATGTAGATCTTAAGTAACCAAGAGGAGTGGCTCAAGGCGGAGCTTGGGAGCCAAGAAGGATATGTGCCCAAGAATTTTATAGACATCCAGTTTCCTGAGTAAGTGTTTCCAGCCTGCGGAGATGGGCCTACCCACACACACACTCCCCGGACTTTTTCAATAATGCTAAAATTAGCCAGACACATCCAAGGTACTGTCAAAAATGGGTGCCTCTGGAGATCTCCCTCCAGAGCCTCCAGAATCAGGCAGCTGAGGGCCACGGGCGGGAGGGAGATTTGCATTTCATTTCCTTTTGAATTTATCACCATGTGCATGTATCGCCTATTTTAAGTGTCTATAAAATAAGTTTATTAGCTAAAATCATCTATAATGATTGCAAGCCCAGAGTTTCCAAGAATTCCAGAGGGGGGCGCTGTTGGCCACCCCACATCAAAAACTGCTACCTCGGGCACTTCATTACCTCCTATCCCTACCTTGGCCCTTAGTCAGATAGCCGTGTGGAAGCTCCCTGCTGTCCTAAAACCATACTCACCCCAGTGAGAGGTCACTGGGAGAAAAGGGGAAATTCCCTTCATAAAGAGGAAATGAAACATTTAGATTGGGGTTCATTTGTCTTAAGAATTGACCACAAGGGTTAGATAAAAATCTAATCTTGTCTCAGAGCCAGAGTCTAGCCCAAAGAGTGAAGGTTTTTTAGAAAACCAAAGTGATATCAGCGACTCCAGTGAGGTGTAGCAGCACCATTATGGTGAACCCATACTGACCACTGAACCAGTAGAATGACCACTGAGCTCAACTGGGTCTTGTGCTGCCCAGTAACTGGCTAGGTGGTAGGTGGCCACTTGGTATCTCACCCGCTCCTCAGCCTCCCCTGCCTCATGCGTGGCCCGTGGCCTTGCTGTCAGGTTTGTAGAGACAGTGGAAGCCTCAGTAATGGCAGAGATGCTCCCTGAATCCCCCCCCCACATCTCTCATGTCTACCCTGCCTTCTGCATCTGTACTTAGATGCTTTGCCTTTCCTATAGCTACTTTTCCCCTTGCTCTCCCACATCAACTTTCGTTTCCTCTTTCCAGGTCATTCCCATCAGCAAACAAACATGCTGCCATTTCTCTTATCTTACCAACAAACTAGACAAAAATATTGATTTTAAATCCCCTTCTAGCTATGACTCCATTCCTTTAAAATAATTGCCTATATTTGCTATTTCTTTTCTTTTTTTTTAAGAATTATTTTGTTTATTTATTCATACATTTATTTCATTTTTTTATTTTGACAAGAGAGGGACAGAGCAAGAGAGAAGGAGAGAGTGGGAAAGTGAGAGAGCAAGCCTCCAGGTCCAGGACTTGAACCATGGTCGGCCATGTGGGAGTCCAGCGTCCTTAACCACCACGCCACCTGCCGGCCCCGCTATTTCTTTTCTTTTCTTTCTTTTTTTAATTGCCAGACGGCACATGTGCTTACCAGAGAGAGACAGAGAAACAGAGAGAGGGGGAGAAAGCACCCCCAGGTGGGCATGGTCACACTGCAATCCTTTCTCCTCTATTATCTCATCCTGTTGGGATTTGGGACAAACACCCTCTTCTGGGTAATATCTTCCTCAGCACCATATTTTAAATACTCTCCCGCCTCCAACTCCCTGTCCCTCTCCTTGTTTTCTCTTTCAGTTTTGCCAGTTGATGCATGACCTTGCCAGAGGGAGGGAGAGAAAGTGAGAAAGTACCCCTTAGTTATGTTGCAATCTCTTTTCTTCCATTTCTTGCTCTCTAGATTTGGGGCATGCACATACATGCCCCTGGCACATTTCTCAAGCTGCCGGGTCTAAGACTTGAACTGCACAGTCATAGTTGGCCATGTGGGATCTAATGATAGCTCATGTGACCACCAAGGCATCGGTTGGTCCCTCCATCCCCCCTCTTTGTTTCCATGTCTCTACAGCACTCATTATCTGGCATACTGTATATTTTACTTACTTTGTTGTTTCTGTGTCCTGCCCACTAGAATGGAAGCTCACCAGTATATCCTTAGTGCCCAGGAGAGGGCTCAGCACCTTAGTGGATGTTCAATAAAGCTGTTAATTGAATGACCAGCTTTGGAATATGTGATATTGGCACTGTAGCCACTCATGTCTAATAAGTAGTGTTTGGAAATTTAAAGATGTCTTGGGGGAAAAAAAAAAACACTCAGAAAATTCCAATAGAGAACAAATGTGTATTTTCTAAATCCTCTGCAACTACTTGTCACCTCTTCTAAAACACTTTTTTGAGTTATGGCTGCTATGGATGCATTCCATTCCTTTTCCCATCCCTGTTGCATTTCCTACATGAGGTAGTGATGTGGTGGTCACTTGATCAGCCCCATAGGGTTGTATAGCCAATACTATCACAAGATCTCCAGGCCACCTGATACCTCAGAGCACAACAAACCTTCCCCTGCAGTTCTAGGTCCTTCCCGCTCCCTTTGCCTCAAGTCAAGTTCCCAAATGCTAGAAAGCACAGGAAACTGCTCTCAAAAGAATCTAAAGCCAGGGTCAGCAGATTGCATACGGATTATGTCTCTGGACTCCCACATGGCTGACTGTGGTTCAAGTCCCAGACCCAGTGGCTTGAAAGTCATGCTGGGCACATGTGTGTGTGCCCAAAATCCCGGGAGGAGAATGAAGAAGGGATTGTGGTGTGGCCATCCCCCCTGGAGGATGATCTCTTGCTTTCCCTCTCACTGTCACTGTCTCTGTCTCTCTCTTTCTGTCCTGCAAGCACGGGCCCTAAGGTAAAAACCCCTACCAAAAAGAAAGAAAGAAAAAGAATGCAAAGCCAAGGCCTGGGGGCATTTGTCTTAAAGGCAGGTGCGCCTTAGCCTTCTGGAGACAGCAGTCGGAGCAGCTACCATGAAGCAACGTGACATGGTTCCACCTTTGGCCACTGGCTGATTACAAACTCTCATTTCACTTCTCTGTGGTTGCGAGAGGTTTCTGGCCTCCTGCCCTGCTCTGCCTTGCCCTGTGTAAGCACTTCACCCTCTTCCTACAAGTCATTCCACCAGCAGTAACACCGCCCAGGCTGCTGCCAGCACAGCTCTCCAGAAGAGCAGTGTCTCCTCAGTTCAGTTTCTTGTCTGCAGGAAGGATTTCCACCCTGGACTTGTTGCGAGGTCCAGGTGCTGGCTGTGTCGACACCGCTCTCTGGCAGCTGCCAACCATGCTCATTTTCAAGTGTGTGTGCAGGGCTCTTTGGGTGCCTGCAGCCTCTGCTGGGCACACCGAGCAAAGCCCCCTCATACTGTAGACAGCCCACTGAGTATGAGCCCCTGGGCTGCAACTCTCCTCTACCCCCCAGGGAGGAGCCTGCAGGCCACTGAGCTCTCCAGCTCCAGCCTGACCCTCCTTCCTCCCTGCCCCTGCAGTTCTTTTCTATCTCTGACACAGCTGCCGGCAGGCGCTGCTTCCCGCAGTGAGTCAGTCGCACACAGCCCCATTTTGGTGCAGTGCACATCTCTGCAATTCAGGTTTTCCAGGCTGGAGAGAGACTTGTGGAGGGGAGGAACACAGTGTGACCACTGGGGAGCATTCGCCTGCCTCTCCTGGAACTGCCTACAACCTTTGGTTTCAGAAAATACCTGGTCCCTCTTTGGTAATCTCTCTTTGCTCTCTCTACTGACCACATCTCTGGTCTCTGTCCCTCTGAGTCATCTCTTCTCTGCTCCCTCATCTTATTACCCCTGTGTCTGACCAAGACCCTCTTATATCTCATCCAATAGATGGTTTCATGAAGGCCTCTCGCGACACCAGGCAGAGAACTTACTCATGGGCCAGGAGGTTGGTTTCTTCATCATCCGGGCCAGCCAGAGCTCCCCAGGGGACTTCTCCATCTCCGTCAGGTACTGGCCATTCCCAACACCACCCTGACCCTTCCCAGCCTGTAAGTGCCCAGGCTGCACAACCGCGTGGTCAGGAGCACAGTAACTGCTCCATTTCCTTCCCAGAACACATGCTCAGAACTCCTTAGCACATTGGTTTGTGCCCAAAATTATTTGCACTTCATCTCCCTCTGGCACAGGAAGAGCAGGGTTTTTACCTACTGCGTCTTTGTGGCTTGCACACAGTAGACACTCAGTGAGTATGTGAGGAAGGTTGGGGAGGAAAGAACTCCCTCTTTCCACATCTATCTAGGGCTTAAATCTTAACCTTTTCTTTTACTACTGATTTGTGTCTGCAGAAAGGTCAGAGAAAAATAGAAATCCCAAGTGCTATAGGATGCATATAAGTCATAGGCAGCCGAGCAAATAAAAACACTACTTTTACAGTACCATGAAGCGAAACTGTGATCAACAGACAGAGCCATGAGGGCTAAGGTAGGGGGACTGTGACAACAAAATGTCACTGTTACGCAGGACTGGGAGGAAGTGACTCAGTCCCACCATAAACATGACATGGCCCCAAACTCAGAGGCCCCGTGTCTGAATATACTACATGTGGTCAGTATGCCGGGGATTGCAAGTCACACATGAGACTTGGTGACCACATGTGAAAGTGCAAGAAATAATGCCGATGGCAGATTAGGAAGAGGATGACAACCTGTACAGTAAAATCTTACTGTCAATGCGACAGGAAGTGTTAGTTCGGGCTATGCCGTAGATTTTGAAAGGCATGCAGCTTTATTACTATAAGTACAGAATTCCACTCTCAGGGGACCAGCAGCTAATGTAATGGCTATGTCGCTGGACTCCCATGTAGTTGACTGCGGTTCACGTCCCAGACCTGGTGGCTTAAAACTCACACCAGGCGCGTGTGTGTGCGTGCCCAAGATCCTGAGAGGACAACGGAGGAGAAGGGATTGCAGCGTGGCCATCCCCCCTGGGGGGTGATTTCTCGCTTTCTGTCTCTATGTCTCTCTGTCTGTCTGGCAAGTGCACGCACCCTATAGAATTCCACTCTCAGGTGATAAACTGTGCCCCCCTTCACTATTTAGAAAGAATGGATAGTTTAAGAACAGGTAGGTTGGGGCTCGGTGGAGGTGCAGTGGTAACACAGTGATCTGTGCACCTGACCCATGTTGGAAGTTTCCGGCTTAGCTTCCCTGAACACAAAACATGGCAGGAGCTGGGGATGCCAGGAGCTGAGGAGTGTATTGTGGCATGGAGACCCTGTTGCAGTTTCTCTCTCTCTTTTGCTTATGAGAGAAATAAAGAAACCTTAGAAAAAATCATTAGGAAGAACTTACAAATAATGAGTCAACCATTAACATCTACCTGTACCTCTCAGGTACTTGAAAACAGCCTGAGCTCTAGAACTGCCCGAGCAATCTTGCTTAAATACTTCATTTTCCTCAACTAAAACTTTCTTTGTCAAAGCTAAGATAATTGTAAACTTTAGTTCAGGTCAATATTAGTATATCACAAATTCTAAACTTAGCAGATCTTAATTAGTGAAATTTTTCTCTATTAATAAATTTTACAAGTCAAACCTACTTCTTAAGGGATCTGACCATAAACTGGGCCAAGCAATTTGTTAGATCGAAGGTCATCACTTGGTGCTTTAGGTTTACATGAAGATGACTCCAGCTTTTTCAGGTAGGAGCTGCCATCTGTTTCCTTGGTTAAACTGGACTCCACAAAACAGTGAGCCTTGACTCCCGCCCAAGTTTTCCATGATACTGAGGCAATGCGGTTCTCGTTATGGTGATTGCTACCATAATCCCTCTATGCCGTCTGCAAAAGTGAAGTATAATATATTCCAAGGCAAAATCGTCTTTGTTTATTCGTAGATCTGCTTCCTGTCATGGGCACAGATAATTAAGAGCTAACTGTAGTTCCAGGGCCTAGCACCTGGGAAGGGCCTGAGATGGAGACACTGGCATCGAACCCCCAGAGTACATCCTTTCCCCTGCTTCTCTCAGGACTTGAGACCATGATCAGGACATTCTCTCTCCATAGGCCTGGACGACCAGTCGCCACCCTGACATACATCCTGCAGTTTATGGGGGTGGGGGCTAATGTTTCACAGTCCGAGTCTGTTGGCTCACAATGGAGGAATACCATCACAGGATCACATGAGGAACAATAACAAGGGTGCCACGTGGTCTCGGAGTGAAGAAGGCGTCTGTCAGTGGTGGAACTAAGGGGAAGACCACAGTGGGATTGCCATGGATGGGTTTCTACCCCAAAGCCGCTGAGCACTAGGTGATCGGTACATCCTTTGGTGTCACCCAGCTGTGAGCGGTACCCAGCACATGAGATCGGAATAAGGTCTGAACTTCTGTCCCTTTCTGAGCACAGACTCCCTAAATCCATCTCAAGAGACTTCCATTAGATATCAGAGATATATCTCCTCCCCAAAACACTTTAAAATCCTGCTGATTCTTCTGGATCGGGCAATTGGTATCTTTAGTGTAAGTTTGTCTTTACATATAAATGAGGTCTGTTTGAAAAATTAACTTCACACCCAAAGGAGAATGGCTTGGAGCTGGAGTAAGACAGGAGCTAATAATAAGGTCTGCTCCACTCTCCGCAGATGGATAAAATCCTCTCTCTCCAACCAGGTGTAGATGTGCCCTATTCCTTGTGAGTCCACACTGATACCAAAAGGTATTGATCTGGAGGCAGGTGGGGTGCCGCAGTAACACAGTGCACTGTGAGGCCAATCCTCAGGGGCAGGTTCAGTGTCTGCAGCCAGAGACCTCCCTATACACACCGGGCAAGGGCCTGCCCATGGTCTGGGGCTGGCTGAGGCTGCGGGGGATCTCAGTGTGGGGCCTTATTGGGGCTGCCTGTCTCTTTGTCTCTATATTTGTCTCTCTTGCAATTATAATTAATTAACTAATTAATTAATTAAAATGTGCTAATCTAAAAGAAACTGGTATGTTTACCTGGTGTGACAGGCCAAGTTCACAGACTGCAATCAGCAACCCAGGTTCTGTCTTGAACTCTGCCACTCACTCACAGTGACCTTGATGGTTCCCCCATTGTTGAAGACCTCTCTGAGCTCTGTCCTCATCCAAAAGATGGAGAAGTAAGCTGAACAGGCTCTGAGGTCCTTTCCAATTGCAATTCTACACTTCCATATAACGCTCCTTTTCCCCAAAATGCAAAAGACTTTGTAACCTTGTTTATGCGAATGTAAACCGAGATCAAAGGATCCTTATTACATAGAAAACAAACATGACAAATTTCGCAGGGATGAGAGTAACCTCTTACAGTTGGTTCAAAGTGTTTCTGATAACAGGAAGATAACAGAGCTTGAAAAACCCTCCACCACGGAGTCCTTGGCATAGCACAGAACTCGGGTGTTGCCATGGTCCAAATAAACACTGTGAAACAGTCCTTGATCTTAGTCTTTTAGGCACTTGGAACATTTTTCTCTTTGTAAAATGTTGGCTGCGGTGTCCAAGACAGACACTGGCCCTTCTGACTACCTTCTGCTGCTGTAAAGACCCCCTCTGGAGTAGGCTGTGTTCCGAGCGGGCCATCCCACCAACCTCCTGCCAGGGATGGACCCGCCATCCATGCCTGCATTTCCTGTCCAACAGAACTCCATCATCCCTGCATGCGAGCAGCCTGGGGCAGGACACTGTCACTATGTAACCTACGATCTGCATTTGCCTCAATCTCCAGGCACGAGGATGACGTTCAGCACTTCAAGGTCATGCGAGACAACAAGGGTAACTACTTCCTGTGGACCGAGAAGTTTCCATCCCTGAATAAACTGGTGGACTATTACAGGACGACTTCCATCTCCAAACAGAAGCAGATCTTCCTGAGGGACAGGACGCGAGAAGATCAGGTATGCTCTAGGTTCTGATCAGCCCCAGCCCAGAGACGGTCAGCAGCCTGAGTTCCTATGCGATCCTCCAAGAACATGCCTTTGAGGGGCAGATCCTCTAAGTATCCTGAAAGGCAGGGTAAATCTGAAGTCAGATCTCAGTTTAAATCCTAGCTTAATTCTTCCTCACCACATGACTGGAAAGTTCTCTGATCCTGTTTCCTCACCCTTAAAGTAGGGGTAATGGTGACCCCCTACTTCACAGATAGTTGGGAAGGCAAGTGCAGATAATGTATCCCCGTCTGTCACATCATCCCTGATCACGTGACAAACATGATCTTTTACATTGGGTGCTGCCGTATTGCAGTTCATAGACATTACTCCATCGGCTTTCACCCCAGCTCAGGAGTTGCCCAAGGATGTAGGAGTTGGAGGTGACAGACAAGGAGAACAGAGAACAGCAGCACTAAAGCAGCAGGTGGAGCTTTGTGATGGGATGAGTAGGAGGTGGGGTCTGGGACACTGGAAGAGAAAACTGAACCTGGAATCCTTGCTACAACTTGGAGTATAGAATACTATTTTCATAGAAAATGCATCAGACAGAACTGGCATTGAATCCTGATGGTATGGAGAGAAGGAAAATACCTGTCAGGACCAGCAGATGGTGTAATGGCTATGTCACTAGACGCCCATGTGGTCGACTACAGTTCGAGTCCCGGACCCGGTGGCTTAAACTCACGTCGGATGCGTGTGCATGCATGCCCAAGATCCTGAGAGGAGAATGGAGGAGAAGGGATTGCGGCGTGGCCATCCTCCCTGGGGGGTGATTTCTCACTTTCTGTTTGTCTCTCTCTGTCTTTCTGGCAAGCGCACATACTCTATGTAAAAAACCTCTCCAAAAAAAGGAAAGAAAGAAAGGAATATCTCTGTCACTGGGCTGGTGTGAGGATGAAATGAAATAATACAGTTATTGCACTGCCATGGAGTTGAGTCCATAGTAGGCACAAAGGAAATGTTAACTCACCTCCCACTAGTACATTCTCACGTTCTCACACATACTATATAAACAAATATTTCAAAGAAAATAACATGGTTAAAAGGAACAAGAGTTATAGGAAGCAACATGGGCTAGAATAGTTGAAATCCTAGGAACATGTTATTTCAAAGGAAAAAGCCCCTCCCCCCTTGGTAAAACAGAGAGAGGGAGAAAAGGAGAATAAGTATTTTTGATAGGGTCTCACCATGTCATCACCCTCCTGCTCCAGCTTCCCAGTTAACTGAGGATTACAGGCATGTGCAGCCATGCCCAGCGTGTTCAGGTTGGCCTTGGAACCGAACCTGGGCCTCTTGTGCAGCTTCCAACCTCCCCAGCAATGGTGCTACCTATGTACCACCATGGCTGTGCCAGGCATTGAGACTTTTTTTTATTTAACTTTATGTATGTTTATTTTTGACCGGAGAGGGACAGAGTGAGACAAAGAGAGAGGGAAAGTGAGAAAGAAAGCCGCCCAGGTCTGGGACTCGAACCACAGTCGGCCATGTGGAAGTCTAGTGCTCTTAACCACCACACACCACCTGCGGGGCCCAGGCATTGAGACTTTTAAAGTCACATGTGCTTTGAGGAAGTAAAGAAAACTCTCCCATTCAAGTCATTGCTGTTTTTTTCTTTTCTTTTCTTTTCTTTTTAATTTACTATGAGGCACATGCACTCACTGGAGAGAGGGAAGAGTGGAAAGTGAGAAAGCACTCTCCCTGGTGGGGAGGTAGGGAAATGGCCACTGTGCAGTCTCTTCCCCTCCATTCTCCTCTCAGGATTGTGGGCATGAGACACGTGTGCCTGGCATGTTTTCCACGCTACCAGGTCAGGACTTGAACCTTACAGTCAGCCTAGTGGAATCTAGTCACCTACCTCCATGTTACCAGCTGGCCCTCCTTGGCTGTTTTTTAAGGCTGAGAAGTTACAGTCAAAGGGGGGAAGGGCGTTCCCATGAAGTGCACACAGAAGTTCAGAAAAGAAAACAAAGGTTAGCCAAGACCTTGAACCAGGAAACGGACAGAGGTATTAACTGACTAGGATGTGTGTTCAGAGATAAGAGAGGTGATAAAATATTTCGTTAAACTATAAGAGATGAAATGAATTAGTATTTGTAAAGTGCTAGAACAGTATACAGGCCTAGCATATATTAAGCCCAGGGCCCTAGGGGATTGTTTGTTAAATGAGAATATCAACAAAATATTCTGATTCCTGGTTGTTAGAGCATTAAGTAGAAAGGCCTTGCTCCTTCCTAACATGCCCCGTGGCAGGCCCGGTTTCCATGGTGCGGCAAGAATGTAGCTGTTTGGGTCTCTGTCACCAGGCTATAAATGGCAGTCTGAAATCATGCAAAGTCAATAGCCGAGCTTATCTGGAGGGTAGGATGTCCCGCAGTGTGGCGACGTGATAAGGAGGGGTGGCATTGTGTCAGTAAAACGGAATATTTCAGCTTGATTACACAGAGAAAAACAAGCCCACAGAATGGACTAAATGCAAACATGTGGACAGTGTTGGTCTATCAGCAGGACCTGAACTCCTGAAGCTGGGAGAGTCTGAGGGTATAGAGGCCACTTTTGAGAAGGCGAAGGTCCACACATCAGTTCACATTAAGCTGCCCCCACACCACCAGCTGTCTCTCAGAGCTGTGCTGAGCAAAGTCTCGGAACAGCTGCTAGAGGGGTGGGGAGGAGCCAAAGATCCAGAGGAGGACGATTCACAGCATCTCTGTTGTCTCTCTCCCAGGGTCGCCGGGGCAACAGCCTGGACCGGAGGTCCCAGGGAGGCCCACAGCTCAGTGGGACTGTGGGGGAAGAAATCCGGCCCTTGATGAACCGGAAGCTGTCTGATCAACCCCCACCTCCTCCCTTGCAGTTCTACCAGCACCCGCAGCCCCCTGCACAGTACCCCCCCGCGCCACAGCCCTCCCAGCAGCGGTACACGCAGCAGCACCATTTTCACCAGGTACCTTGGGAGAATGAAGTGGAGCATATAAGCACATGGGCAGGAGGATCTGCCTTCACCCCAGGCTCAGGCCAGGGGAGGCACATCCCAGGCCTGGCCAGCCTCATCTGGCCTCACAGAGCTCATGAAGAAGATCCCGGGCCCCCAACACGGCAGAAACATGGAAACTGCTCATAGCAAAGTAGTCTCTGTGCACTAGACAGCCCCTACCTGGGACACATGCACACTCTTACCCTGAGCTTCAGTGACCGACTTCTTCATTTTCTTACCAGCACAATTCCAAATCTATTCATGCCCCGTACCCCGTCTGGCTGTTGAGATCTGAAAAAAAAAAAAAAAAAAAAAAGACCGGATTAATGCACACAATGGAGCCGTGGTTATTTATTTACTACCTCCAGCCTTGTTCCAGATGAGATTTCAGGCAGGCTTACCAAGATGGACAGTACAGCCAGATAACATCGGTCCTAAATTCCTCAGCGGGAAGCACAGTCCTTTGTGAACTTTGTGAACTGCCCGCATCCGTTTCCCCAGCCTAGAGTCCTGCTTCATGCCCCTAGGCCCCCTGAAACACATTGAGCAACTGGGCTCTACCTTAATTGCCCCCTTACCTCTTTGACGTTTTACATGCCGGTCCATCTGCCTGAAGTGTTCTTCTCTGGTCTGTCTTACTCCTAAGTTTGTATTCAATCATCACCTCCTCTATGAAGGCTTCCCTGATTTTCCCAGTCACACACACTTTTCTGTCTGCTTACTGAATGCTTTAGTGTAGATATTGGGTGGTTGGAAAAGTCATGAAGTATCTGTTTTTCTATGCAAAAACACATCATGACTTTTCTGATGACCCTTTAAACAGAAGTTCCATGAAGACAGGGGCTTGTCTTTCCAGTAGCTGTCCCTGGCATCTGTATGGTACAGAGACATGGTAGGTGCCTGGTATGTTTCTGCCTGGCTACATGGGACTGCCCACACCTTGCCTTCAGAGTCTGAGGTCCCATCCCCCTCCTTGCCCCTCTCTCCACCATCCAGCTCTTAATATCGCCACTGATAATTAAACACTGACTGACTCCAGCAAAGCCCTGGGGAGCCTGGGACAGACGCTCCAGGCAGTGGGGTGACAGGTCCCGTGTCGTTCTAGGACCGCAGAGGAGGCAGCCTCGACATAAACGACGGGCACTGTGGCATGGGCTTGGGCAGCGAGATGAATGCCGCCCTCATGCACCGGAGACACACGGACCCAGTGCAACTCCAGGCGGCAGGGGTATGTGCACGTCCCCTCTGGTTCCCGGGGAAGGGCACAGGGATGGAGCTCAGTGGAGGAGGCGGGAGAGGCAACCAGGGAAATGGCTGGTGCTGCAGGAGACGACACGGAGCACAAAGCTTACACCAGAGAGGTGGGGACTCGGTGCCTAACCGTGTGGGGGGACAGCTGGGGCCGAGCTGACCGGCCTAGCACCTTCCGGTCTCTTCCTCAGTCCGGCAGTGGCCTTGCCAATTCCGTGGCCCTGTAGTTCCAGTGGTGGGAGACGGCTGCCTTTACCATGGCCATCCCCAGGCTGACTCAGTCACACTAACAGGGCTGTCCGATTGGGCTATCACCATTCTGTTTGTTGCCTGAAGGAAATACAGATAGCACCTACCCTTGGGGCCTTGGAGAATAACCGTTCTATTGTAAAAGTCCTGAGTCTCAGCCAGGAGCGGTAGCATATGCCAGTAATCCCAGATACTCCAGAGGCTGAGGATTGTGAGTTCAAAGCCAGCCCAGGCGACATAGCAAGAGCCTTCTCAAAATAAATCAATATAAATACACATGAACCTCCTGAGTCTCAAGCATGACACGAGTGAGTTCTGGTAACTTCGTGTTCAGAGCTCTGCATCTCACGTCTGCTTTAAGCTGTGGGATCAGCCTTCAGGAAGGGTTGCTTCCAGAGCACTGGGACATGTGGGAGGAGCCAACAGGGCCTGCTGCATAAGGAGGGCCCAGACATTCCCTCAGTGGAAACTGTGCTTCCCCACAGCGAGTGCGGTGGGCCCGGGCACTGTACGACTTTGAGGCCCTGGAGGAGGACGAGCTGGGCTTCCGCAGTGGAGAGGTGGTCGAGGTCCTGGACAGCTCCAACCCGTCCTGGTGGACCGGTCGCCTGCACGACAAACTGGGCCTTTTCCCGGCCAACTACGTGGCACCCATGATCCGGTGAGCCCTCGGGGCTGAGGGCTGTGTCTGAAGCTGCCTGTAAGAAGAGAATGGCAAGAGAAGAAAGCTGGACTGCCTCTAGTGCACGCACGCGCACACACACGTCTGCACGTGGGTACGGGTGCCTGTGCACACGGCGTGCTCTCAGTGACTGACTGGCAACTGGGTTGGCTCGTTGTTGATATGGAAAGGGACTCAGGTGGAGAATGGTTCTTACTTTTTGACCCAGAAGACAGTGAGGGAACTGGGAAGTGGGTGGGGAGGACAGGAAAATGAAACAAAACTTCTTCCTGCCCTGAGTGCTCTCAGCTGCCTCCTTGTCTTGGGAATTTCCACGGAGAGTAGCTAAGCAGCGGCCATACCTTAGTGGACGTGTCCTCACACACCCACAAGCCCCATCCCCTGAGGGGGTGCCTTTCCTCCCCTTCTCTGAGGTGCGGGCACTGCGACGTTGAGAATTAAGGTGCAGCCAGTTTGAGGTGGGACAGGAGCAGCAGTGTGGGAAAGGGAAAAGCCCCTGCCTGGGAAGGCTGGCCTCCTGCCCACGCCCAGCCTTGCCAAGACTTGGACCTCCATCCAGTGAATACTCCTGGTGATCCTCTTCCCTGGGAGGACGGCAGAGGCTTCAACACAGAGAGCTCGAGATACCAGCTAGGCTGCAGAGCCGAGAGCTGGGCCATGAGGATTTCCACAGGCCCCTGTGGTTTACCCGGCTCTCACCTGTTTCCCCAGCTGCAAAGACAGCAGCAGCAAAGCCCTGGCTGAGACCACTGGCTCTGAGAGCCAGCACTTCCCAGTGACAGGATGTCTCTTCAAGCTGTGTTTCCCTCTTGAACCTCTGTGTCTTGAAAATACCTTGCCAGTGGCACAGAGAGGTGCCCATTTTACGAGAGCATTAACAACTAAGTGACCCTGAGTCTGGGCAGGAGCTGGCTTGGAGATGAGCTTCTGTCCGACTGTTGGGTCACTGCCAGCTTCCCACCTCCACTGCCACCATCCTCGTCATCACCTCAAACTAGAACGTGTGTCCCAGTGCTCACCCCAGGGTGTGATGCATTCAGCCTGGTGAGGGTGGGGTAGGAAGACCCTGGAGAGGAAGCTTAGTGTCCCGGTGGAGCCTGGGAGCAAATGTGTCTGCAAAGAGCATTTGAAAGAAGTATACATGCCTGTGCATGCACACACCCGTGTGTGCATGTGTGTGGATGTGCATGTGCACCTGTGTTGAGGTGTTTGCGTGCTTGCATGTGTGTGTGTGCTGAGACCAGAAAGAAAGGGTTGGCATGAAGGTGCTGGTGCGGGTGCAGGGAGGGGAGGGGCCTGCTTGTTTCTGTCCCTGCCCTCCCTGTCTAAGGAGGGATGGGGCACAGTAGTAACTGAAGATGATAAGGGAAGAAAGTTTCTTTTTAGAGATTTCTGCTATAGGGCAATGGCTGCAGACACTCCTTGCTCACTCCACTCTCCACTGCCTCTACCAGGCTCATTGCTCTTCCCTCCCGTGCACACCTCGGAGTCCCCTTTCTCCCTTTCTCTGAAGGGAACACGGGGATCTGAGAATCAGAGTCACAAGGGACAGAGCTTATGTTACTCCAGCAGTTACTCCTGAGTCAGAAACTTTCTTCCTGGGACGAGCAGATGTTGTAATGGTTGTGTTGCTGGATTCCCACAGGGTTGACAGTGGTTTGAGTCCCGGACCTGGCAGCTTCCTATTCATGCTGGGAGCATGTGTGTGCAGGCACAAAATCCCAAGAGGAGGAGAAGGGATTGCAGTGTGGCTATCTCCCCTGAGGGTTGATTTCTCGCTTTCTGTCTCTCTGGCGAGTACACACACCCTATAGCAAAAATCTCTCTAAAAAGAAAGAAACTTTCTTCCCTTATTGAGGTGAAGAAGCAGCACAACCAAAGGTAACAGGAGGCCCAGTGGGACCAGTGAGAAAGGGCTGGGGTGCTAAGTCGGCGGGCAGACAGCACAACACAGGGAGGACCAAGGCAGGTGGTATAGGCAGAATCAGAGTGAGAAGCTTCGCTGCTGCAGGAAGCAAGAACGAAGAAACCAGAAGAGTAAAAAGAATGAGGCGGGGCCAGCAGGTGGTATGGTGGCTAAGGTGCTGGACTCCTATGTGGTCAACCACAGTTTGACTCTTGGACCAGTGGATTGAAAATCACACCAGGTGCCTCCTGGACCAGTGGATTGAAAATCACACCAGGTGCGTGTGCATGCATGCCCAAAATCCTGAGAGGAGCACGAAGGAGAAGGGATTGTGGCATGGCCAGCCTCCCTAGGGGGTGATTTCTCACTTTCCCTCTCTCTGTCTCTCTTTGGCAAGCACACAAACCCTATAGCAAAAATCTAAAAAGGAAAAAGAACAAGTCAAAGTCCTCCTAGGCTATCCTGGTGCCAGGTGGCATGAACTGTCACACTAAATAAGAGCCAAAAGTAATGTTGGATTTACAGTATTCACAAACCACATGCTTTAGACAGCTCTCAGACTTAGCAATCTGTCTGATTGTGCGGGAGGCCCGGCCCCAGTTAGGACAGAGGTGAATGATTCGGGCTGGTCTAGGCTCTGCATCCTTCTCTTCTCAAGGAAACGGTAGTCACACCAGTGCCCTTGGAGTGTGGGCTGTGCCTGGCGCCAGTGCTGCACACCCTCAGGCCGGGTCGGCTGACTACACAGAACCCTCTGGAAGTGGGTGCTCTGTTCTACCCAAGGCCCTTGAGGGAGTGTGTGGGAGCATTTGTTTTTGAGGTGCTAGGACTGCCTCACCCCACTCGGCAGCAAAGTTCAAGTCAGAGAATCACCCAAACCACCCGGGAGAACATGAGCTCTCAGGGACCAAGCTGAGAAGACCAGGACCAAACTGTCCACCCTGGTGGGGAGGAGGAACTGTGTTCCCGGGCCCAGTGCTGCTGGGGAGCATATGTGGAGTTGATCTTCCTGCACCCCCGTTTCTGCCTGATGGCATTTCCACCAGGGGGTGTCCACCCTGCCCTCTCCCAGCCACACAGCAGCAGCCCACACTGACTCTAGGCGACGTGGGAGCAGGAAACTGCCAGAGGAAAACCAGTTCCTGTTGGACCAGTTGGGTTTTCCTAATGCTTGCTGAGGCTCGCTGCATTTCAGCTGTCCGCACCTGCCACTGCCCACCCACTTTTAGATGGCCTTAGGGTGACCTGCTGCTTTTTGAAATTTAAAGTAACTCCCAAATCACTGTGCTTTGTTAAAATGCACATTTTCATTCAGGCCAGGCCCACATTTTTTTGATTTTGTTTTTGCCATAGGGTGCTTATAGGAAGAACAGAGAAAGAGACAGTGAGAGGGGAAGTGAGAAATCACCTCTCCAGGGGATGGCCACACCATAGTCCCTTCTCCTTCATTCTTTTGGGATTATGGTCATGCGCGCGCACACACATTCTCGATGTGATTTTCAAGCTCCCAGATCGGGGACTGAAACGGTGACTGGCTACACGGGAGTCCAGCTCCTTACCCACCACGCCCACTACCTGCCACATTTCTAACAAGCTCCCAGGTGCTGTCGCTGGGTCCTCACTTGGCTTAGCAAGAGCAGAGAACTTGATAGTGTGCCAACCCACCACCAAAACCTAGTTGGACTCTTTTCTGGAAATTTTCAACCATTTTTTCTCTTTTGCTAACAAGTCAGTCACTTTGGCTTCAGGATAGATGCCATGCAGAGCCATCGTATGACATCATTCAGATCTGGCAGCCCAAGTGACTTATTATTTTAGCAGCTTTGTCTCTCCATCCGGGATCAAACACCTTTCGAGGGAGAGGCATTCTGCTAAAATGCAAACAGGAACGTCTTAATAGCAGTTGCTTTTAGCATGAGCAGAGGTTTCAGAAATTGCAATAGCTTCCGCAGGAAATGTTTAAACATAGCACTGGCTCCCTTTGAGTACGGCCCTGGGTGAGGCAGGGCCTACGTGACATCATTAAATCTCAGCTAAACCAAAGCAAAACACCCACTTTGGGAACAGATGGCTTGGCCAAAGTAGTTGCTGTCTGCCTCGTCTAAAGTCAGCACTTCAGCCTTTCTATACTAAGGCAGCAGTGTGAGAAAAACCTTGTTGTCTCCTCTTTTTGAAAATACTTCGCAATTCCTTTACTTTGCTCCAGTCCCATGGCCATCCCACCATCATCTCTTCTTTAGGCAACTGTATTTTTTTTTAATTTGCTATAGGGCACACGTGCTTACTAAAGAGTGAGAAAGCATGGGGGCGGCGTGGAGCTGGCCACACCACAGTCTCTTCTCCACTCTCCTCTTGGGATTTGGGGTATGCATGCACACTTGGCATGTTTCTCAAGCTACCAGGTCTGGGACTCGAACTGCTCAGTCAACCACGTGAGATCCAGCCACCTTAACCACTGTGCCACTAGCTGGCCCTGTGTAACTATATTACCTGCCCACTGCCTCCCTCTCCAGCCTCTTCTTGTGCCACTGCCCCCACCCCACTGACCTTTCATTCTCCAGATGAGCAAGGGTTTGGGGACAAATCCTTCGTCCCTGCTGGTCCCTCTGCCCAGAAGGTACATCCCTGCTCTTCACTTGCTAACTCTTGTTTATCTCCAGAGCTGACTTTAAATGTCACTTCCTCAAACAGTCCTTCCCTGACCCCTCATCTGAAGTAATCCTGGGCCAGACAGTGGCGTGGTGGTTAAGGCAGCTGAATCTCACATGGCTGATTGAGCGGCTCATGTCTGGATCCTACAGCACACGTGCTCAAAATCCCAAGAGGAGGATGAAGTAGAAGGCATTGAGGCCTGGCCATCCCTCCAGGGGATGCTTTCTCACTCTCCTTGTCTCTCTCTCTCTTTCCAGCGATGCCCCGCCCTATAGCAAATCTTTAAAAATGAATAAAGTAATTTTTCCTAGCAGACTATCTCGAGACTCCGCAGGCTTTTCCTGTGCACACAGAGAGGACACCAGACTGGGCGGCATGACTGAGACTGTGAGCCCCGGGGCAGGGACCATCTCTGTGTGGTAAACCTGGTAGGCCAGCTTCTCGCACTGTGTCCAGGGGCTCAGTAAATCTTTGACCGGTGAATAAACAAGTGAAGCCTGCCTCATCTTACCTATTCATTCATTCCATAACTCAAACGTTCTAGGCGTTACAGACGCACAGATGCAGACAAGGCCATGTCAACAGCACCCTTCCTCTCCGGTCTCTAACGAGCCCAGGCACCAGTGTGCCCTCGTCGCCTACTTGTGTTCTGGTTGTGTTCTGCCGTCCGGCTTGCCATTGCTGCCAAAGCCTTCCCTGAGACTGGGATCCACTATGCGTGACTCATCAGTCGGCGAAATGGCTCCATCCGTCAGGACCCCAGATTCAACCCACAGTCCCTTTAGTGAGGAGGCCGGGAAGGGGTGGGGCAGAGACTGGCCTGTGCCCAATCCTGGGAGGTGCTGCTCACCCAGAGTCCCTTATAGTCTTCCAGGGGACACTGACCCCTTTACCTCTGAGCAGTCTCCCCAGCAGACAGGACTGGGGAACCCCCTGCTTCTCTCTTGTCCCACTCTCATCTGTCACTGTTGCCCCTTTCTCCTTTGCTGAAAAATAAACAGCCTTTTGCCTCTTCATTTGCACGGTAGAGACCACACAGGGGCCACCACAAAGGGGCCCCCACACAGGGGCCTGTGGACTGCCCTCCACTGCACAATCTGGGCTCAGTTCTAATCCATTCATTTCTTTAACAGATATTTACAAAGCGCCTCCTAGGGTTGGACAGAGTCTGTCATCCGGTCCTTCCCATCCCTCCACTCCTCTCCCGTCTGTGCCAAGGCCAAATGCCTTATTTCCAACTTCACTCCCTAGTCTCCCAGAGACTGCAGCAAGTTGGGAACCAGCCTTCCTGTCTCCTCCTATCTGTCCCCTTCTAATCCAGCCTCCGCAGGCTGCCAGAGAGATCTTATTAATATGCAAAGCTGATGACATCAGGCTCCCATTCAAATCCTTCCGGGGCTTCCCACAGCTCTCAGGCTGGAGTTTAAAAGGCTTAGCTCCACTCTAAAGGCATTTTGTGATCTGGCTGCTGCCTGTTTGTTCAGCCGCATCTTCCACATCTCCGCTCCCAGACACCCTCTGCGTCAGTTCTCCTGAACTATTCATAGGCCCCGAACGCGTCACATTGTCTCAGACCTCTGAGCCTCTCACCTTCTGTTCCTTCTGCTGGATTGCCTCTCCCCCTTTTTGTGTCTGGACTGCTACTGTCAATAGTACTTTCAGCGATGTTGAAGAAGTCCTGTATCTGCTCTGCACAGTGTTGTAGCCACCAGCGCATGTGCCTACTGAATACTTGAGATGCAGCTAGTGACTGAGTGTCATAGTCACTTTGGCAACTGGCTACCTTATTGGCCATTGTGGGCCCAGACAACTGTTACTCATTTTGAAATCCTTGGCTCAGGGCTCAAGGGATCTGCTAGCAAAGCGTTGCAACATCCGGGCTGACATCAACGCCTTGCACCTTGCACGTGTGTTCCTGTAGCATCCTTGTCTGGCTCTATCCCAGTGCTCAGAACACTGTCAGTGGTTTGTTGGTCTTGTGCCCAGTAGAATGAACACTTTCGAGGGCAAAGGCAACTCGATACATTGTTGCTGCATGAGCAGTGGTATGCTGTTAAAGGTTTAACACCTGGCTCTCTGAGAGAAAGCCCTCATTTGTAGCACTTGCCAATTCTGTGGTGTAAACACTCCCACTGTGTGTGAAGAGAATGAGGAGACAAGCCACAGACTGGGAG